CCCCAAAACCCCAAAACCCCATGAGCAAATATAAATTCAATATTTCATGATATAATTTAATTAAATTTAGGTAATGGAGGGTGAAAATATAAGTAATAGTATTAATACTGAGTCAGAGTAAAATCTCTAGGAAACTAATCAATAGTAAGAAGAATAGATAGATACAGCTACTTATGGTAAATTTCGAATTTTAAATTTAGATTAGTGACTTAAGAATAATCAGTCCAAGAAAGCGGTAATGTCTTTTAAGAAGAGGAAAGCAAAAACGAATAAGAGAAGGAATTATACATGCCAAAAAAGCACGAAGATAATCCATTTGTACTTTCTTTAGATGTATCTGTAGGACCTAATTCATTTATTGACAATCGCTAGCCATATAATGAAGAATGTCCTCCACCAAAATACTTTTCAAATGATATTTTATTGGAACCTCTTCCAGTTATTAGAGAGGATATCCTAAAAGGTTTAAAAGAAACAAAATAAGGAGGACTCATCTGCGTTGACAAAGAAGCAATGGATAAGTAAAAAGGTGTTTTAGTGCACGTATTTAAGTAATTAAGCAAAGTTTTGATGTAGGGTCTCTCAATCAGTCATATTTCTCTGCCTATAAAAATCTTTGAACCAAGATCATCAATTTAGAGGATAGTAGATATATGGTCTTTTGCTCCTAAGTTTTTAGCCAAAGCATCATAAATATAGGATCCCTTGGAGCGGTTTAAGCAAGTGATAGCTTTCGCTCTAAGCGGTATTTACATTGGAACTAGCTAGTATAAGCCATTCAATCCCCTTTTAGGTGAAACGCTTTAAGCATAATTTACTGATGGAACTCAAATATATTGCGAGCATACATCTCATCATCCACCGATTACTAATTTCCTAATGTAGCCTCCTGATAATTCTTATGAATTTTATGGTCATTACGAATTCACTGGAAGCATGGGTGCCAACCATCTAAAGACCAGTCTAAAAGGCCCTAATAATATAGTCTTTAAAGATGGTTAGCATATCAGATTCAGAGTACCTGAGTTTTAACTAGGAGGAACTGTAATGGGAGAAAGAACTATCGAAACAACAGGAAATGTTGTGTTTGAAGATTTAACCAATAATTACAAGGCAGTTATAATTCTGGGAACATATAAAAGGCATGGATATTTTAGAGTAACAGAAACTGGATCAAAAGATGAGATACAAGGAATGATCTATGAATATTCGCCATATATAAACAAGTTATCGTTTCAAAAGACGCTATATAATGACAAAATTATTGGAATATCTGAGATTGGTTAAATTAGTGATTCGATAAGAAATATTTGTGAGATTAGCGGTAGTTGGCTGAGATAAATCTTTATTGGAGGGGATCTATATTGGAATATTGAGAAAGACATTCCAAATCGCCAAATTCCTAAAACTCAGACTAATTAAGACGATATAATTATAGCTCCTTCAGATTGGAGATTCAGAGAGGATCTTATATGGTTAAAATACGATTGCATGGATATCGCAAGTGAGTGGAAACATCGTTTGGAGGAGTAACAAAGATATGATAGGAAACTTAGAAATGAAAAAAGAGAGCAGAGACTCAAGGAGACTTGAAATCAAGTCGTTTCATTCAGTACAGTTGATCAGAATATAATTAATTTGAATAGCTTATTTGATTAATTAGTTGATGGTTTTATAATTATGTTCCATTTATGAAATTAAGAATAACCAAAAAATTAACACTGACCAAACTAATGAATACTAAATCATCTTCTTCTATTATTTTATCCTTATACTTTAGCATTAACATTATTAGGATTTTAAGAAGGGGGAGGTAATCTTGGTTATTATGGAATTTGACTATTTGGTAGTCTTGGTCTATATTACTTTTATTTAGCTGGACTCTTCTGACTGAGTGCATTTTCTAATTAAACCATCTCACTCTTACTTAGCTAATCTTTAGGGAGATGAGATAGGGGTAATATTCCAGAGAGAACAGCTGCAGCTAGTAAATGCTTCGGCATCATCCTCTTCTTTCTTTCTCTTTCCATCAGAAATTCTGTTTACTTTAATAGTCTTCTGGTTACATAGTAAAAGATAGAGCAGAATCTTCTGAAATCACCTTAAGTAAACTTTTTATCTGCTTCTTTTTCCTTTTGAGTCTTTAAGAGTCCGTATATTTAATCAAATTACTCTAACTTACTATTAATCTCCACCTTGATTAAGGCTGGATCTGCCTATACTGCCTAATTAAATGCTTGAAATGACATGTAGAAATTTTCTTTTTTAATATGCTCGGATAGAGGCACGTGATCTTAATTTATGGCTGCCAGCATTGTATTTACGGTAATTTTGGCATCATCTTAGTCTAGGGGTAAATATTAGGGGCAAGCTATCGAGTCATCAACCATGAAATTTAATTTAGCTATAGTTCTTGGGTCAGTCCCCTTTGTAAATCTCATAGGATTCTTCTATTTAATTCTAAGAACTTAACCCTCTCCATGCTTGTATGCTTATTACTTAGCACGAGGTATGAAGAGTCTCTTTGGCCTCACAACCCCGTTTTCATCTTCAATTTCATCTTCTCCACTACTTGTTGTTGCATATATCTCTCCGAATTCACCAACTCTTCCCTCTATATCCTAATCAGCTTCCTTATCTTAATCTTATTTTAATTCATCGTCGGAATAATTCTAATCTGGCTATTCTTCTTCTTATTCTATTTCTTCATCATAGAGTTCATTATCAGCCATTATTTTCTCTCTCATAATGGCTATTCTCTTTCCCTTCTAGCCCTTTACCTCATCCAATTAAGCTAATTTATTTCTCATATCAATCTCATATTTTTCTTCAAGATTTGTTCTATCAATCTAACTTATAATCTGACTTTCATGCACTTACAGTCCTTAAACTTAGACTTAGCTTCTAATTGGATACAGAATTACATTTTCATGAGCATTTTTCTCTGGAGAATTTTATTGCTTGTCATTTCTTTGTTATTATTTACTACCTCTCCTGGATATCTATAAAGATGCCTGGTATGATTGAAAAGATTCTTAATATTTAAAAGACAGTTCAACTTATTTATCCCAATCTTCAGTAGATATTTATAAGTAAGTTTGATCTTCTTCCTTTCCCCAGAGTTATCCATCTTCAATCTCATTTGTAATAGCTTCATAGATATTGCTGAAGTCTTCATCAAGGACATTTTCCATAATCCACAAAGACATTCTATGTTTATTTTTTGGGTTTTTGACTGTCTCTATTAGTATTTTATATTTTATTGCCCTTTATGTTTCTATCAAAAGTGAAGAATATATAAAGTCCTCAAAGATTCTGGGGTTCATTAGTTATAATACACCTGTTTCAGGAATATTATTCAACCTTTTTTCACTTAATTCTATTTTATTCCTCTTAAATTTTTTGGAGCAGATATCCAAAATATATTGCAAATATCTTGGCCAAAAGAGTTCAATGAATTGATTAAACTCTGATAACAGTTCATCATTAGTATCTTTTTCTCATCTACTGAGTTTTAGCTATTTGTATGTCTGCAGCCAGACTTTTTGTATCTTGATTTCTCTATTCAAGTATTTCTCTTAATACCAATTTTCTAAGAATTATTTTTCCTCTCTGTTCTTGCCGAAAGCAAGTAGTTCTTTTTGCTATTTTTCTCTTCTTGAGTCTATATATTCCTGGAGAGAATCAATACTATCTGAGATTATTTATTCTTAATTGATTTGTCTCTACTTTTTATTTTCTTTTTCTGTGCTTATAATATCAGAGTAAGGTCTCTTATCTTCTTCATAAATTTTACGCGTTCTTGCTGGTTCTTCAATTTTTCTAATTTTTCTATCTTTTTGCTGATCTTATCCACCTGTTATTTCATCTATTTTTCTTTTTTTGGATAGATCCTACGCTTTTTTCAATTCCTCTTTGCTTTTTAATTGGGTTTTAGATGGTTTCATTTTATTTGATTTAAATTTCAAATTATTTAAACTTTAACTTACAATTTGCAGTATATTTACGGATGGGGTTTTGAGGGGTTTTGGGGTTTTGGGG